ATGCACAGAAGACAAGAGACTCATCCTAGGTCACACACCCAGTGGGGTGGTAAACTCAGAACTCAGACACTGCTCTCTCCACTCCCAACTGGAACCGTTTCCAGAACTCCAGTGTGTGAATGTATAGAAACAGAGCATGGGGTGACCCACCCTTCAAGCAGGGTGTCAGAGTGGGGAACATCCTTCCTTCCTATGAAGGAGGTTGTTGGAAATAGTTCTCTTTCCCCAGCTCACCACGTTCTGAGGCCTGAGACATTGATTGTCCTTTCCCACTGTCTCTCTGGAAGCATCTGTTAGCTGCATCCTCCTTAGGAAGAGTCACCATCCCTGCCTAGCTATCTCCAAGTTCCTTGTCTCCTGCCTAGACCTTCTCCAGGCCTGGAGAAACCCCAGTATCCTGGCACTCGCTCCATCCTCTTTCTATACTGCATCTCATTTCTATATCTGCCCAAGTACCATGAACGTCTGCAAGCACTGAGTCCTGCAGTGACAAGATGGGAGAACCTTGCTTGGCCTGTTCTTTGGGAATTCTCACCTGGGGCCCTCTGCCTGCCTCAGTAGCCTCTTTCATGAGCAATGGAGCAGGCATCCAGTTGTGAGAGAGTGTGGGCCCTGGGAAGCAGCTCTGGCTGGAACAACAGCAGCAGGCACCTGCTTTAGAAAGGCCTGGTCTTCCAAGTCCAGCTCCTGTCTCTCCTTCCCCTTTAGTCTCCCTCCTGGTCAGGATTTATTACAAGGCAGATATCTTGGACCCGAGACCTTGGGATCTCATAGGTAGAGAAGTGGGTGATGCTCAGCTCTCACCTCTTGGTCCCAGAGCTGTTAATAGAACACTGAGATTTGGGCAGAACTTTTTCCCTGACAGCTGCCTCTCCCACTCTGCCTTCCTCTCCATATATTCCAGTAGGTTCTTCCAAGGACACAGTTCCTGGTGTTAGTATAATGCTTGACCTGTTTTCTTTTTCTATTTTTTTAAGCAATGTGTGATGCCATCAGAAGGATACCAACAGATCTACCAATTTGACTCCCTTTGGGACCTGAAGTCCCACCCACAATAGGAAAGGGGTAGGCAGGAGGACCTTGAACTCATTTTCAAGAGGCCTGCATTCATTTCCCCCAGACATATCCCTCAGGGCAAGATGTACCCCGAAAGAGCGACCACCCTGCTAAAATTGGCCATCTGATCTGATATCTTCCATCTGTCTGTCTGTCTGTCTATCTGTGGGATCAACAGCTTCCAGCCAGCTCAGCTCCTCACCAGCCCTAGCCCCAGCCAGCTGTAATTCTTGCCTGTTACAAGTGTTAACACCTGGCCTGGGGCCTTCCTCCCCCGCAGTCTCCAGGTGCCTCCCTGAGCCCAGCCTACTGACCCCCAAGGGGTTTGACTGAACATGTTCCCAAGCCTCTGAGAGGCGCTATTGGGTGGGTGTGGGGGTTGGGGGGGAGGCAGCAGGATGTGACACATGGAGAAACTGAGGCAGGGCCTAAGGCAGGCATTTGAGTAGAGGATGGGTTCTGGGATGGTGGGGTGAAAACCCAGGTATCCTGCTTCTCAGCTCTGAGTCCTCCCCTAAACTGCAAGGCAGGGTAGGCTTGGTGGCCCTGGGTGAAAAGTGAGAAAAATGGCCCAGAAGGGTGGTTCAGTGGTCCTTAGTCACATAGCTCCTGGGGTGAGCTGCCCATCCTCAGTGTGCGGGCCTCTCATCAGCGTGTCCACTATGGAACACAGATAGTGTAGGACAAGGCCCTGGAAAGATAGTTTCCCTTATGAAGAAGAATGACAGATTTCTCTACCAGGAACTAACTGGTACAGACAAGGAGATTTCTAGAAATCAGGGTTGCTGTCACTAGTCCTGCACCAGTGCTGCCACTACTTGGCTGAGAGACTCTAGAGCACAGGGCTTCCCTCTAAGGGCTTATGGTGGGAGGCCCCTTAGAGCCCCCCTCCTAGTCTACTGCACTTAGGACTGGGGCCTAAGGAAGGAAGAACAGGGGCAGGCGGCTGGGGGTGGGGGTCCTTCCTTGAGGTGGTGTGGACAGAAATCCCAGCTAATCGATTTCCCCTGTAAATCCCTCCTGGGGGATGTGTAAGCCGGGTGGGCCAAGGAGGGCAGGCAGTGATGGACTCAAATGCTAAAAGGACTGGAATCTGCCTGCCTGGGGGCAGAAGGGGATCAAGAATCCAAGGCCTAGCCACTCTCCAGTCCGAGCCCCGAGAAGGTGACTCATGTTCCACCCCAGCTCCAAAACCAAAGGAAAAGGACCTTAGAAGAGAGGGCCAGTGACCACAGTCCCTAAGCAGACAGGATAAACTGGTACCAAAGAAGGCCCTACCCCCAACCCAACTGGAATCCCAGGCCCCTGTAGCTACCTTATAAGACGTCCACCTCCTACTGAGCCTTCCCCTTGGGGCTATGGGTGCCCACCAAGCACCCCATCTCAGGTGTCCTTCATGCCCACAGGTCAGGTGTCTGCCAACATGTCCACAGACACATAGCTGCGAGCTCAAACTATGTCACTGGCACTTGGGGACAAGATCAGAAGCAGACCTATACACAGACCTCACCCAGGTAGGGACACGAGGCTCACGTTCATATTTCAAGCACAATCAGGTCATGCCACGAGCACTGATCTCGTGACATTTGTTGGGCCTTCCCCCTTATACTGTCATGAAGGCATCTGTGTGTGCATGGATACACATACAGACACACATAAACATGCTCACAGGTCCAGATAGATACCGATCATCATGTCCAGAATCACAAGCAAAAATCAGGCAAAAAATTCTCCTTTACCTGAGCAAAGGTACTTCTAGACTTCTGTCTCATATACATGCATATTACAGAATCAGCCACTTGCTGACACTTGCATGGAGAGGCACAGTACACCCTCCCATGGGCCACAGATCCCCCAGGCACACCCCACAAGATTTCACATGTACAGTTGCCCAGGTCTTAGGCACCAATACTCTACCCACAGAGACACACTAGTGTACAGACACACCTCTTAGGGTCATAGATCCAGAACACATACTCACACACACACACATACACAACCTCTCCATGGCTCAGACAAAGCAGCAACCTTGTCCCCCCTCAACCCCCAAACAGGCCATGTATCTATCGTTATGTTAGGACCCTGTCTCGGCCTTCCAGGTTTTCCTAGGGTTGGTTCCTGTTGGTTGAGATCTATCTAGACATTCTCAGATACCATCACACACAAACCCTACTGCCACCACCATCACACCCACTGGCACTGCCGCCAGGAAATGCCCTCTGCCAGTCCACAGAGCAGGGGAGTCTGCTGTCTCCTCCTTCATGCCTGCCACCCCTAGGGCTCCAAGCTTCTCCTCCTACCCCACCATCCAGGGTCCCTGAGAGGCAAAGCATGGCCCTGGAAGATAGAAAGAGGGTCAGGAATGGCCAGTGAGGTAGTCTTCCTCCAACAGGCAGAGCCCCACCCCATAATCCCTGGCTGCCCCCAACATGCTCAGGCTCTGTACACACCATACTGGAGGCCTCAGGCTAACTCAAGGCCACAGGGAAGAAAAACTGTCTCTGGGGTGTCCTCATAGGAGCAACTCCTGGTACCCTTTAAACAGACCCTTAGTCATGCCCTGCTTAGGCTCCTGACCTCCCCCTCCCTGGTCCCCCAGATATCCCCAAAGCAACTGGAAGAAAACTTGGGGTGTGGCCCTTGAATCTGGCCAGCCCTCCTGTCCATATAACCAGGCACCCAGATAGGCAGGGGGGTGGGGGGCATGCAGGCAGTGCTGCACCCTGGTGGCACTAATCTATGACTTTCACCCCAGGGGCCACAGTCTCCTTACTCACAGGTCCCAAATTCCTCCTTCTCACCTCCCACCCCCAGGCTGAGCTCTCCACTGTCCAGGAGGGGAGAGTTCTTTCATTAAAGTTTTCCGGAATGCAGGGGCCTGGAGCAGAGGAGAGCGGGGTGTAATTTAGAGAAAGAGAACTGGTTTCAGAGTGTATTGGCCACTGGCCCCTGAGACCTTCGGAGGGGGCCAGAGGGCAGTACTGGGGCTTAGAAAACAGGGGGCTTTCTGGACCTGGGCTCCCAAAAGACTGTTTATCCATCTGCTAGTCAATCCCCTCACACAGGCAGGGCCCCAGCCTTCTATCCAAGCCTTATTTACTAAAATGTCTTTTGTATCTGCATTTCTCAGGGACAAAATTCCCCTTTTCCTTTCCCTTTCTCCTCGATCCTAGGTCTTCCAAAAGCAAAGAATTTGACATGGGGAACTGGGTTTTTGGTCAACGAGGAACAAGGCTACCCCTCCCAAACAACTACATTTTCTAAGAGCCCCCCTTTCACCAGGATGGACAGGCAAGGAATGAATACAACCACATTCAATGGCATCTCCAATCGGCAAATTCTATATTCACTTCAGAGGCTCAACATTAATCTAGACCTGAGTGGGAAGAATCTGATGAAACGGCCCCCCCCCCAACTCCCCTGTCTGGGGATCCTCAAAGCCTTTGGGGTCTGAAATACGAAGGCAAACGCGGGTATTGTGGGGGAAATCTCTTGACCGAGCCGCCTACGAGATGGGGCGGTGAGGAAGGACAGGATAATTTTGCCCATGGAGACCCTAAAATGGAGAAGAGGAGTGGCCGGGCCCCAGGGACAGCACTGGATTTCCAGAAACCCAACTGTAAGCAAATGGAGGTTCTTCGGGACCCTCAAATTGGGATGGGAGAGGGTGAGGGCTAAGAATAACAGACCTACGGGGATAGGGATAGTCCTCCCGCCTCTGCGGCGGGTAGCAGGGAAAATGGTGATTATCGGAGAAGCCAGGAGTTAGATTCTGAAGGCGACACCAGTAGAAGATCCAGGAGGGGTGGACGGCTGGGGGTCTGGAGGGAGGCAAGGAGAAAGGAGCCCCAAGGCCTGCGGGAGCTCAGACCCGGCCAGCACCCCCCACCCTCCCCGGGCGCGGCCGACATCGCGGCCGCCGGCAGACAAGAGGGGAGCCTTACCACCAAATTGGGTAGCCGGCGAGGACCCTGGTGCCACCGAGCAGGAGGCCGAGTAGCAGCCCGAGCAGGTGGGGCTCCATTAGAAGCAGCGCCGAGGAGGAAGTTTGCCGGCGACCATGAAGAGTGGGAGCGACGCCCCCAATAGTTGGAACAAAGTCCACTTGAGGTTGGAAATGACTTTCGGGCTTGTCAGAAGCGCACCTCCACCCGCAGCCGCCCCCCTCCCGAGCCCAGAGCCGAGCAGCCGGGTTTGAGGATGTCAGCGAGCAGCCAATCAGCGCCCGCGGCCTAAGGTAAGAGATGAGTCTGTAGTTCAGCCTGTCAATCACGCGCCCCTCCCGCCCGGCCCACAACTCCGGCTCTGGGTAGGGCATCGCCCCGGCAAACTTGGGCAAAGCCCGCGCCCTGGGCACACGGCCACCTTGGAGGGACCCGGCATGCCGGGTTCTCTGCTGACCCGAGACGTCCCCTCCCCTGCCCGGGCCAGCCAGGTTTAGGGAGCTGGGGCCTTGACCCGGCGTTCACGTGGTAACTGGTCCGCGTGGGCATGAATGGGTGGTTCCTTTTCGGAGGGGAACCGTGATCCCCTGGGATTTGGGCCCTTGAGGAATCCAGACTAGAGAGCGCGGGGATATTTTCAGAAACCCGTTTGCCGGTTAGGATCAGGGGCTTGGAGAATGCAAACCCCTCCCAGCCTCCAGCCTTCCCGGGCCCGCGAGCTGGCGGCCCCGGGACCCGGTCGCAGGAGGTCGCTTCCCGGTATCAGAGAGGCGCGCGGAGAGTCCGAGGAGGCACGAAGGTCTGCGGGCGGGCGGCGCCGGGGGACAGACCTAGTGTCATTTGAGTCTTTTGTCAAGGATCAGATTGGTATCGCGACCTCCTGCTGCCTTTGCATTTCCTGCAACTGACACCAGCGGCGGGTTGCATTTCCTGCGGGCGGACTCCGGTCACTTTTTCCTCCTGCGGGGCGTCCAGGCCCGACCTCAGAAGCACCTGCAGTCTCTTTTGGATCTTGGGGTGGAACCATTTGGGGCTGGTGAAACAAGGCAGCCCTGGCTAGGTGTAGTTGGGGGCCTCCAGGAACATTCCGCTCCCCCAATGCCCTGCACCTCGGGCCCCTTCTGCGGATGGGAAACTAGAACCCGGGGTTTGGGATTCAAGCGTTATCCGGTGCAGACACCAGATTCGTGCCACTACTCGCTGCTCCCCATGAGCGGGAATCTCCCAGGCCTCCTCTCCTCTTCCAAAACTAGGGTGTTAGGTCTCTAACCTGCGGGGTACCGAGATGGTGGCAGGAGTTTAAGCTCACTCCCAGCACCTAGCTAGCTGCCTGTCCCCAGCTCCTCTCCCCACCGCCACTGGAGACACTCGGCGCTAGAAGCGCTCCTGGACCCGAGTAAAGGAAGCGAGGCTGAGGAGAGGGAGCTCTGGTGGACCTACTCAGGGAAACTGCAAAAGAAACAGAGAAGCCCACCGGGATCCCGCTGACCAGGAATGGCGGGCTCTCGGTCCAAGGGGGTGGGGTGGGGGTGGACAAGACCGGAGGAAGTCCCACGCCAGGGGAGCAGACATTCCTAGCCTTTGATCTGGGCTGCCAGTGCCCACAGCTCCGCTGGCCCTGCTGGTCCGCTCTCCGCACTCCGCTGCTGCTGGTTCAGGGAGCGCAAGGAACTGGCCCCTGGGGGCACCAAGGGTCGGGAGAGCCGCCTGGGCTTGTCACTGCTTCTACTGCGTGCCTAGCCCGATGTTCGGCTGGAGGGGGTGGGGGTGGGGGTGAAAGAGGG